TCAATCTGTAGGTGAAATATAGAAATTTGAGGTTAAGTGCAAATCGCAGCAGGGACCGTATCCTTAGAAAGGTCCGTATGTGCTGCCTGGTTGTGGGGGTTTGGATTCATAACATCTGGATCCTTAGGACCAGATTGACAGGCAGAGGAGTAGCAGATGTGCCTAGTGCCAGAAAGTCCACAGATGCCCTTGAACACCCGCCCTCAAATCTTACAGGCGGGATGCTCTTGGAGGAAGGCTCCTGATGGATCTCACCTGCCCTCAGCTAAGGATGGGCCTCATGGGGTTCTGATTTCTGATCTCTGTATTTTGGGGATAGAAACTAGGCAAGGTGACATCTTCTCATTTACTGTGGAAGCTGAATTTGATGTTAGCAGTAGCATCCCGGTGTCTTTGTTTCTAGCCAGTCTTTTTCCAAGGTGAAAGTCGACAGAATAGACATGATCATGAAATACTTTACCAGTTTCAGTGACTGATAACCACATGTTTCTGAGTTGAACACCTGCACAGCTGGGAGGGCGTGGCTAGTTCCCCGGGAGGATGCAAATTAGACTTGGAAACAAACAATAGCGAAATAACTGACAGCTGGGTGAGTACCACTAGGAAGGGAACTTAGGAGCAGGAGCTACTATTAAAATATGCAAGTGCACATCAGCAAGCAATGAGTTTGGAGACAGCACTGGAAACAGGTTAGGTGGGCCAGTTAGAGGGAATTAAAAGAATATGGGAAATTTAGTATCTTATTGATTCCACTTGTGGAAAGTGCTGTGTCAAACAAGTTATCATGATTCATTTTTTTGACTCTTCGGAGTAAAGGGCAAATCTACATGTTTCTCATCCTGTCTGGTTGTTACTTCACACATGTGGGTTAGGGATCATGTGAAGGACCCCAGACAAACAGAAACAAAGTGCTGGTGAGTGCTGTGTTCACTGAGACTCAAACCAGAAAAATAAAAATAAGAGACACGCATTTGAGAACAAATTAATAACCGACTGAGGGGCCTGAATGTCACCAGCATGACAATCTGAGAAAAACAGTGAAGTTTTCTTCATCAGAGAGTATGCCGAGGAGCAGTGCTGCCTTCCAGTTATGGTTTCTGGTCTGTTCTCCCCGAAGACGTGTGAACTTGAAACCCCTCTTGGCCCCCCGAAGCAGAAGAGTCTATGGTCCTGATGAGCGTGTGTGCGTTAGACTCGTTTCTCCTGGCAAGGAGACGCTAAAGGGTACTTGAATGAAATATTAAAAGTTATGAAGGACATAACAAAGGCCAATCAGTCCTTTCTTTTCCCCAGACCCTATAATATGAGAACAAGGGTTATTTGATGAAATTAAAGAGTAGCAAATGAAGTGCTAATAAAACGAGATAGTCACTTATACAATTCATTGCCATGGGAGGTCACAGAGGCAAATTCTGTGGCTGGATTAAATCTGGGGCTGGCTAATTTTATGACCATTAATGGTATTCTTAGCAGCCCAAGCTGATACGGGGAGAGGTAATTCCTCTTACATTCTCTAGTAGATGTTTCACAGGGACCTGTAGCAAGTGGCATTAGCCGTGTGAACACCAGTCTTGTGGGTATTAACTTGAGCCACGGTGCCTTGGAGGGTACTTTTTAAGGAGACTGGGTCCAGGCATCCATCTGGGTGCCTGTGAGTTTCCTCCTCTGCAGATCCAAAGTCATTTGTGTCCTGGGGAGGATAAGAGGAGAAGGCTTCATTGGGACTTGGAGAAGCCCTCCTCTTACTTGAATGTCACCCAGTGTCATGTACTTTGCAGGAGATTTTAAAGACTGGTTGGAGGTACAATGTGTTTTCCAAGTGAAGGGGTGGGACTGAAAGTAGCTGGCAAAGTCACCTTGAAGAACAGAGCACAGAAAATGTGCAACTTGTAAACCTTAGGAAGGATTCCCAGAGAAAGGGACCGCCCTTCCTCTCCCCTTTCCTCCCCTCTACTCCCCTTCCCTCTTTCTTTACTTTTATGAGACAGGTCTCATGTAGCCCAGGCTAGCCTTGAATCTGCTGTTTTGTCTGAGGATAATCTTATACACTTCTGTCCTCCAAGTTTTAGAATTTCAAGTGTATGTATTTGTGGCTAGTTTATATGGGCTCTTTACTTGCTAGTCAAGGACTTGGGCCAACTGAGGTATGTCCTCTGTTCCTGAAATGAGCCTTTGTGGGTGAGGGTTCATTGCTTATACAAGTTAAGGAAGGACCTTCTAGGTAGAAGGAGGAAACAGAACGTAAGATCCAGAGACAACATAAAACACCAACTCAGGAAACTGCTGGCTGTTGAGGGACACTGAAGCCCAGTGTGTGAGGGAGGAAAGGGAAGAAAGGCTTTCTAGGGGAAGCTGAGGGATTGATTGGTGGACCTTGGGTTGTTTGAGGGTTCCCACCAACAGCAGACCTTGAGCACGTCTGAGGAGTGGAGAGGAGCGAGGAACCTTGAGGGAAGAGCCCTGGGTTGGCTGGCTTCAGCTTAGCCACGAGCCTTACGATTCTATACAGCTCTTGACTCCAGTAGCTTCAATCAGTTCTGCTATTCCTAAAACAGTCTTTACCATGAGCTCAGTCACCTACAGTAGTTATCAGTTGACCAGGTTTTTTTTTTTTTTTTTTTAATTTTTATTAAGCCTCCCCTACATTTGGGTGGAGCTAGGTTCTTCTAGGTCTTAAAAGTGTTATGTACATCCTTGTCTCTATTCAATCCTGCTGTCCGGGACTCGGCCTTGAATCCGCTGTCTCCTCAATAGGAAGAAGGGGCAAGATGCTGCCTGACTCAGGCATCTGTTTTCTCTCCAGTTGGCTTCACAAAGAAGCAAGACAAAGTGATATTCTAAGGAGCAGAACAGGTGGATGACAGTGTTAAAAATCCATTTTATTAAATGATTTCAGCTAACAAAATAATTTAATCAGAAATGAAAAAAAAATACCATCTGAGCATGTTTCCTACTTCAGTGATACTGAATCCTTCTATAACTCATTCTTAACCAGATTTTGAGTTTCTACACCGTTGATATTGATACTTGTAGGAATTTACAAATTTGGAAATGGGGGTGGGAAGCAGTTTTGATGAAGACTTACTAAGTATCCTGGTGGTCCTAGATCTCATCCTTGTGATGATCAAATTCTTTAGGATTGTGTTAGTCATTAGTGTGATGCTCAATTGTGGGTGTTCGTGTGATAGGATTGATAACGAACAGCTGTGTGCATGTCTGTGAGGGCATCTCCAGAGGTAGGTAGGTCATGGAGTCTCTGACCGGATGAATGAATGAGTGAATGAATGAATCCCTTGATAGACTCATAATTCATATGATGGAGTTAATGATGGGTGGTAAAAGGTAGCAGGTGGGTCTCCCTGGAGGAAGGACGTCACTGGCAACATAACGTCCCTCTGTGTTCTCCCGCTTTTTCTCTTTCGTTGACTGTGGTGTGTGTGTGTGTGTGTGTGTGTGTGTGTGTGTGTGTGTGTATGTGTGTGTTTGTGTGTCCACATAGCTCTGTATAGAAGTCAGAGGACATATGTGTGTACTGGGGATGGAGCTCTCTGGTTGTCAGGGTTCGTAGCAAGCGTATCCTTATCCTCTGAGCCATTGCAGCAACCCCTGGTCCTTTTCTGAGTTACACTTTCTCTGCTTCCTGATTGATGACAAGGTGAACACTTTTTCTTGTCACAAGATCCTCCTGAAATGCTGTTATTTCCAGATGCACAGAGACATGTGACCATGTGCCAAAGTAAATCCTTCTTCCCTTAGGTCCTTTCCAATAAGTAGTAGTCAGTCAGAGACAGTTGATGTTTCCATCCGGTCTGCATGCAGTCAGTTCTCATGCACATCAGAGAGATGTGGGACTGACACAGATTTCCTAGTGCCTACACTCTGCCCACTATTGTCTTTTAAGACTCTTTTTGAAAACCATGAGGACCCTGGGGAGGGTCAGTGATGTAGAGATGAGGTCAGCTACAACAGGTAACTGGAGGCACATCTAGCTTACCTGGAGGCCCCATGGCTGGAGTTGGTAGTTATGGGACCAGGCCCTGGACTCCCAATGGAGAGATCAGGACGCACACTGAACTAAGTATGAGAAGCAGTTCCACCTCTACTCCAAAGTCCCATCCACGTTGTGTGCTAAAGATGCGTCCAAGTGCTATGTCGGCTGGAGAGCTAGCTGACCTTCCTTGGAGGTCTACTGGCTCTGTAGAGCCAGGCTCAAACAAAATTGATAACCCAGGATGGGCCACCCTGAAGCAGAAGTGCCAGAGATATATCTCCTGCAGCTTTGGGTGGGTTTTTATTTTTTCTTTCCTGGTTTTGAATGCCTGCTACACTGTTATTTGTAGCACATTTTGAAAAATTCTCTTTTGATGGGCTGTATCCTATCGGCATCTAGCAGATATTAATCTTGTCAGTAAGTGGGTAGTGATCAAAGATGCCTTTTAAGTATTCACTAATTCACTTAAGTATTTATTAATCATTTGCTCTCCTGGACTAGACACTCACAAATAAGTCTTCTCTGTCAGAGGTGAGATGTGCGTGCCCAGGGAGGAGGGCACACCCACTGCTGAGCTTCTGTGTGTAATTAATCAATACAGCTTCTCGTAGTTTTCAGGTGCATTTGATTTTGCACAAAGCATACCTTGTGATGTCCGGGCTTTCTACAAGGTTGTGTATTTATTATTGTCTGAAAAAGAAGCATGACTTTAAGAATATATTTATTATTATTTTACGTATGTGTATGATGTTCAGGCTCATGCATGTCACAGTGTATGCTCAGGTCAAAGGGCAACTTTATGGAATTATTTCTGTCTTTCCACCAATATATTGGCCCTAGGGATTGAACTCAGGTTACCAGGCTTATGCAGCAGGTGCTTTATTGACTGAGCCATCTTGCTGCTCCCAAGACCCATATGTTTTAAAAGATACTGAACGAAGCTACGCCCTTTCGCTAGAGATGACAGTGGAACTCTTAAAACTTACAAGTGTCACTCTTCCCTTTGTAGATCTTAGCTGGATCTCCAAAGTTCAAGTGAATCATGCGGCCGTGCTGAGGCGGGCTGAGCAGATCCAGGCCCGCAGAAGCGTGAAGAAGGAATGGCAGGTACGGGTGTGTCCTCATGAGCATTCCATCCCGCACCTCACAATGTGAGCCTCTTCCCTCAAGGCCACAGTATTGAATTTCGCTCAAGATGCATCTAGACTTAAAGGATTGCATCTGTCCGTAGCTTATTTTAATAATTCATTTATGATGATGATGGGTTGGAGAAAGATAACGCATTTATCCAAACAAGCTAAGACTCTTATCGCTCTTGAGTGGCCAAACCGCAAATGAATTTGAGGCATCTTTATTCATGAGCAAATTAGATGGCATGTCTCCTTAATACCTGTATTCAGCTTCCTAGACTGCTTTCTTCGGCTGTCTTCTATTTTAATTTTAAAGCCATAAACATCTACACCTGGTGTGTCCACTGTTGCGGCCTGAGGTAGGAGAATTTACCTTACTATTTCTTTTCATAAATCACTTTTCGAAATTCCAAAAGTGATGTTCGTGGTGTCCTTCCAGTCAGCGCATTCTTTAGTGCACCGAAGCCACGGACGTGCAGTGCAGGCCTAAAAGGACTTCGAGGTTCATGTCACAAGCGAGGCAGAACGTGGTGACGGAGGTCTTTAAAGCGACATGTCCCATTTGCCCGTCCTGGTTGAAAAGATAAAAGGAAGAGGGTTTTTTTTTTTTTTTTTTTGGTTTTTCCAGACAAGGTTTCTCTGTGGAGCCCTGGCTGTCCTGGAACTCACTCTGTAGACCAGGCTGGCCTCGAACTCAGAAATCCGCCTGCCTCTGCCTTCCAAGTGCTGCCTGGCAAGGGTTGTTTTAATAATGGAATTGGATTAAAAATTGGATTAGAGATTTCAGAAAATGCTGCATCACCTTGGGTTCCGGGAAGGAAGGTAAACTTATGTTGTGCTCATGCCCTCACATTTCTGGCTGGCTCTTTACAGACGAGCTGGAAAAGTGAGATGTAGCAGGAGCTGGCGGAAGCTTCAGCTGGGGTTTCTGAGAAAAAAAAAAAAAAGAGATCAAATCTGCGCTTTTGTTCTCTTCTGGCTAATGTTCATCTTAATTGCCATTCTCTTAAAAGTGATCTCAAATTTAAATTGTTTCTGTGTGTCCACATGTGTGTGCGTGTATGTGTACGTATGTGTGTATGTTGTGTGCCATGTGTGCCCTGGAACACACATGGTAGTAGAGGACAACTTGTAGGAGTTGGTTCTCACCTTCTATCATGTGTGCTCTGGGGATAGAACTCAGGTCTTCAGGCTTGGCAGCAAGCTCCTTTCACTGCTGAGCCGTCTTGCTGGCATTTTGTTGGTCATTTTTGAGTTCTGCTTATACGTTTATTAGAAAATGCCTTACAGTAGCATTGCTGCTGGCTGTTAACACTCCGTTTGCCCATGTTTCTCTCCTCTAACTGGGTTCAAGGTGAATTTTCTTTTTGATTTCCCTTGCTTCTCCTTTTCTTCTAGCCTGCGTGGCTCCTGAAAGCTGTCACGTTTATAGACCTTACCACGCTCTCTGGCGATGACACGTTTTCCAATGTTCAACGGCTCTGTTATAAAGCCAAATATCCCATCCGGGCAGACCTCTTAAAAGCTTTAAATATGGACGACCAAGGTAAGTCCACCTGGGCTTCCCTGGGCACAGCAGTAATTCCTGGAGCTCGGGGGCTTGATGGTTAGTTACCTGCCGATGTGCTGTGGTGATCTCTGGTACATCTCTGCTTCTTTGTGTGGAGACAGGCCACTGAGATTCCTCTTTCAGAAGCTAAAGAGACTCCAAACCCTGTTTTCAGGTCAGGTTTTGCATCTATGAATTGAAGTTGTCGGTGGAGAATTTCCTCAGTTCTTCAGTCTGTGATCTTTCCTGTCTAGTGGCTCTGGAATACAGGCTCTGATTCTCTAGCCATGAGGGAGAAGGCCGGTCTCAGAACTTAATGAGCACATCACATACGAAGTCAAAGAAAGGCATTTATAAATAAAATGCAAATGGGAAGGACTGTGTATTAGGTTAGAACTTAAAACAAAACAAAAAAACCCCAGACTCCCATTACTCTCTTAGTGTACACGAGAGAAACTGTTGAAAAGCTGCCTGAGGTGTGAGCTTTCAAACTTGAAACAGGGCAGAGTTGGAGTGGTGGGGCAGCAGGTGGGGTGGCAGGGGTGATGGTTGTGTCTGTTTTCTAAGTGAGAAAACCAAGACCTGGGGCACCAGGAGGTATTGCCAGGGCCACAGGTATAAGGCACTTGCTGAGCCAGTTTTGGGAGGCAGACATTCCCTGGATAGATCTATGCTTCCTGGCTCTGCCATGCCTGTGCTATCTATGGATGCAGAGAAGGGTAGCCCAGTGCAGGCATCCCAGACAGTCTGTGGGCTTTTAGTACACTGAAGCAACTCCATGGCTTTTGAAAAGCATCATTTTATTTCTTCCGAGTTGACACTGGCACATTACCTTATTGGAGTTAGAAATGTAACTCAGTGTTGAGCGCTAAAGGCCCTGGTTTCCATCCATCCCTGGGCTATAAAACAAAACACAGATACCTGTCTTTTCCCCTTTGCTGCAACCATGTGGGGCAAGCATTTGTCCCTCTCATTTGCTTTCTGCCAGTGTTGTCCCAGAAATAATAACTAAAGGCACAGTGTGTGAACCGAACTCCACGTAAACTCGGCTGCTGTGCTTTCCCCTCTGCAGACATCACCACAGCTGCAGTCTGTGTTTATCCCGCCCGAGTGTGCGATGCTGTGAAGGCCCTGAAGGCTGCAGGCTGCAGCATTCCTGTGGCATCAGGTAAGACTTTTTACTCTTGTTACTTTTCAACATATCTGACATTTTTTAGCTCAGTTGGCATGGATTATCCCTCAAAAAATTTATATTGTGACTGCATTAATTTAATAGACTTCGTTGTGTTGATTCGTGATTTTTAATGTGTGCTAAATTTATGTAGTGATTTTATATAGATATTAAAGTAAGCGTGAGGTGACACAGGGAGAGGCCTATCTCTTCAGGAGCTCATGGGGAGGACTGTTGAGTTTGAGGCCAGTCTGGGCCACATAGTGAGATCTCAAAAACAGACAAAAACCCACCAACCCTAAACCTTGACATATTCAGTCCTAAAAGTATAGAGCCCAGTGAGATCTCAAAAGCAAACAGACAAAAACACCAACCCCAAACCTTGACATATTAAGTCCTAAAAGCATAGAACCATGTCTTGGTGTTTATAAGGAAATCCTGTTTGTATGAGGACCATCAGATTTATAGTCACGGCGTCAGTTGTATCAAGCGCACACACATATCTGCACTCCGTTGCATGTGTGTGGCATATGGTACTGAGCAGGGGATAACTTCCCTCAGCCGAGGCCGGGGCTGCACAGTAGGGATGCATCCCAGCAGGGGTGATGGGTGCACTGGGTGTTGAGAGGTGAGGGAGAGCTGACATCTACGAAGGCAGGGAATGATAGTTATACGGGAACTAGCACGGAAGGCACAGAAGCAGAGCAAGGGACACAAAGGCTTCCAGTTGTGGACAGGCAGCCGTGGAGGGGAAGCTGGGCAGGACACTGAAGGCTGGTGGCCTGGACTCTATTCTGATGACATTGTTAGCTCTGGACAGTATTAAACAGAGTGTGGCATGTTCAGCTTCAAGGTGATAAGTTAGCTGATATAAAAAAACAAAAAACAAAAAACAAGCCCAACAAACCTAAGAAGTACAGAATACATTAGGGTAAAAACTGGAGCCCTAAAACCCAGAAGTGCCACTAGTGAGATAAAGGTGCCTCTTGCCAAGGATGGCTACCTGAGTTGGATCTCTGAAGCCTACACAGTGGAGGGAGACAGCCAATTCCTCCTAGTTGTCTACACACACACACACACACACACACACACACACACACACACACTGAGTAAATAAGTGAAAAAATAAACAGACTATTAAAAAAAGCCCCCTAAAGCTTGTGTCTGTGGGTGAACAGATGGATGGACGGACGGATACATAGAGAGGTAGTATGAGAGTCTAGTTTTAAAAAGGCTTCAAGAATTTCCTGGTGCTTTAAATCAACAGTCTGAGCCAGGTGTGGTGGGACATCCTGCAATTTTAGCACTTAGGAGGCTGAGGGGAGGATTGCTGCTAGTTTAAGGCCAGCCTGGGCTACATGGAAAGACCATGTCTTGAAAAGAAAAGAAAAAGAAAGGGGAAAGGAGAAAGGGGAAAGGGGGAAGAAGGGGAAAGGGGAAAGGGGAAAGTGAAAAGGGGAAAGGGAAAAAGGGAAAAAGGGAAAGGGATAAAGGGAAAGGGAAAAAGGGAAAGGGAAAGGGAAAGGGAAAAAGGGAAAGGGAAAGGAAAGAAAAGAAAAGAAAGAAAACAAAAGAGAATAATGTATAAAGATCAGCTACTTATTTTATTAATGTACTATATCTTTTTTTCAATATTTATTTTTATGCATGCATGTTTGTGGCTTGCATGGGTTCTGTATCAAGTCCTCTGAATGTGCACAGATGCCAGAAGAAGGCATTGGAACCTCCCTGTGTGTGCTAGCAGCCAAAGTTGGGTCCTTTACAAGAGCAGCCAGTGCTTTTAACCACTGAGCCATCCCTCCATGTCCATGTCTGCAGATAGCCTCTCTGAGAGGGCTCCCAACATATTTGAAGCTGTGCCTCTATAGACCTTAGTTTTTTCACCATCTCAGGACATTTAGCCTGTCACTTACATAACAGAGCGATGTGTTTGGCCTACGTTAGCAGACCCGAGGAGTTATCACTGTAGGAAAGGTCAACAGGTCTCTGTTGTGTACACTTGGGGATGATGTGAATGAAAAAGAAAGTTCTGGTTTTCAGGCCCATAGGCGTGTGTTCTTTTTTTCTTTCATGTGTTCTTGGTCCTTTCCCGTAGTGACATGTGCTTCCCCTCCTGCCTGGCTTCTCCCTGGTCTCAGCTGCCTTGCTGGTTGTTTTAAGAGACACTGGGAGGAACCTGGCTTACAACCTGGTTGCTCTAGTCACTAAGTCCATCATGAGTAAATGGAGATCAGATCAGGGCCAAATGGGTAAGTCAGGAAAGCCAACTTGAATCTCCCAGTGTCTGTCATGTGAAACCACACCAATGATTTTATTCCTGTCAGCTGACGTATTTAGTTAGTTGATAGTTACTAAGCATGCTATGCAAACACCTCTGCAGCAATGCAACCTCTGGTCTTTCAGAGAGAGCATCGTGTCATCATTTCCCCGAAAACATATATGCACTCACATCCCGCCTCTCCAAGTTTGTCCTGTGTGGCCTGAGTCGTGTTTAAGTACCCATCATGCCTCATCTCTAAATGCGGTACTTACGAACTGACTGATTGAAATTTGTCCTGTTTTTCCCTCTATCGCTGTCACCCTCCCTGTTTTCTTTCTTTGAAATCTCTCCCAGTGGCCACTGGCTTTCCAGCGGGACAGACTCATTTAAAGACTCGGTTGGAAGAGGTCAGGCTGGCGGTGGAGGACGGAGCTACTGAAATCGATGTCGTCATTAACAGGACCTTGGTGCTGACTGGCCAGTGGGAAGGTGGGTGCAGGTCCTAGCTCCCAGGGAGACCCAGCCCTTCCTGGTGGGTCATGTGGGGATCTGGAAGGGACACAGCAAGACTTAGAAATCAAGTTCCAGGTCACAAGTCAGTGGTCAGAGGGAGCATGACTAAGAGTGCTCCTCCCCATCCCCTTATAAGTCTAGGCCCTTCTCTGTCTGCAGGAACAGGTTACGCCCCTCTGTGTAGTTCGGTGCACAGTCGTCCTGTGCACTAAATGCAGTTTAAAAATTCTTCATTTGCTTCTCTTTTGGAAGAGTTCCTATGCTTCTGTACTGTTCCAATATTCAGTGCATAAATCACTCCAGGTAAGTCCTCTAAGCAAGGCTTACTCTAGGATGTTGGACGAAGTCACCCTTTTTCACATTAACCTTTGTGGACTTGGAGGATGTGTGCTGTTATTAAGCTTATTAAGTGCGTTTTTGCTACCTTAAATGTTATTGCATGCTCGTCTGTAGGGCTAGTGTCTCTCCATCATGCCAGGCTGTACTAAGATAACACCCATTCCAGTAACACGATGCTGTTTACAGCGAGGTATGAAACAATCAAATGAACTTCACCTACTCTTATCTCTATGTTATATCCTAAAGCGAGGACAGTAATAATGAAAATAAGTACAGTGCTCTCTGAAAAACCCACCATGGCAAGTAATTTAACAGTTTAGATGAAACTAAGTTAATGCCAAGGTAATATATTGTTTCTTGATAAATATACATATCAAGTAAAATATATTACTTAAAATATATATATATTTTTTAAGTATGGAGGATCAGTGGATCACTTAGTTCATTTGTTTATTTGTGTGTATACAGAGTGAGGGACTTATATATGCCAGGGCTTGGCTGTGGAGGTCAGAGGACAACTTTTGGGAGTTGGCCTCCTTCTTCCATGTGTGTCCTGGGAATCAAAGTCAGGTGACCAAGCTTGGCTGTTGGCATTCTTAACCTGAGAGCCATCTTTCTGGCCTCTGTGTGTCACTGTTCGCTGAGATGTGTCAATCTGATAACTGATGCTTTTAGTGACTCAGTAACAGTGTAGACACCACGAGATTTCACCACAGCTGCCTTGTAAAACCTATGGATAGCTTATTTCTGGAACTTTCCGTTTAGTACTCTCAGACCTTAAGTTGATCCCTGTTAACTGAGACTGCAGATATTGAAACTAGGTGTAAGAGAGGAGTCTTGAGAGTATGTATCTGTAAACCTTTTTCTGTCAAACCTAGTCCACCGTTTGGCTCCTGTGAACCGTTTTTGTTTAGTTACAACTTAACAAAAATTCAATCCGCAGTCTAGTCACAGGACACTCAGAGGGAAGTACTTAGAGTTGTGCCAGAGACCTGAACCAATTCCACCTTCCAGTTCTGGAGTGTGTGCGTCTACCACCACAGCAGGGACACTCCGTTGTCTAAGGTGGCTTTTGAAGATCCAGCCTTCATACATCCTCCCCAGGGGAAGGAAAGAAGGCTCGGCCCCATCTGAAAACCTCTGTATCCTGTTTATTGCATCCTGCTTGTCTTCACTTACATGGCCGCCATCACTGGCTGCAAGGGAAGCTACATGCTCTCCAGCTTGGAGAGGTAGCAACACTTCACGGTCAGTCTCCCGTTTCCTCCCCCTTCCTGTGTATACTACCATTCTTGACAGTTCCAAATAGCTTTCTTTACTTGTGCTCGTTTCTTATTGTTACTTGCGTGTGCTTTGGGCGTCCCTAATCCTTGTTGAAAGTCATATTTTATATATATTCTTGTTCCTGTGTATTCTGCATATATGCTTTTGGTCACCAATTTCAGTTAGGATTTCAGAGTTGTGGATAATGTAAATATGCATATTTTAAATAAATCCAGATGCACTTTATGTCTTTTCTAAGCAGGCAAAAGACATAGATGTGTAGTTTATATTATAACTTGTTTTCTTGTTTCTCAAGCTCTATTAATTGAAAAATAAAATCCAATAGGAGATGGATTTTGATGTAATTGGCTATCCTTAACAGACTTAGGAATGGCTGTTTTTGAGATAATAATTTCCCCAAAGTAGGCATTTCCACAAAATATAGTAACACATTTTTGTCCTACGCCATACTTTTCCATTAACTTATTTTTATGGTGTTAATAACCTCTTGACCCAAACTAAATCGAAAAGGAACATTTAATGCTAGAAATTTATTTCTAAATAGAAGCTAGCAGTGACTTAAGCCTTTCCCCACTGCAGTATTTTGTCTTAATTTTGATTCTCAGCTTGATTGTACATTGTGTTATTCAGTGTTTTTACATAGGGGCTTACTGATTAAGAGCCTCTTATTTCTGTGGGATGCGTTGGTGGGCGTGCCCAGCAGGCTTCTATATTTCCTGCCTTAGGCCCCTCCCTGCATGAGTTTTGTGAGTTACTTTGGGAATTATTTGCTTTTCTCTTCACTGCAGCCCAATACCCAGGGAAAGCCTTTTAAGGAAGAAAGGGTCTGTCTTGGCTCACAGTCCATCATGACAGAGAAATCACAGCAAAATCTAAAGTCAAGATTCAGGGGGAGATGACTGCAGTGTCCAGCTCACCCCAGAGGAGGGCTACTGCTCCCCACATTCAAGGTGGATCTCTCTTCAGTAACCCAATCTTAAGGTTCTCTCACATGTGTGCCTAGATGTTTGTTTCTGGAGTGAGTCTAATTCCCAGCAAGTGGACAGTAAAGAGTACCTGTTACACTTTGCAAAGCACATCAGAAGTAGACCAATGTGTGTCGCATGCCTCCTGACCACGACCCACAGCCCAGAAGCATATGAATCCACGTTGCTTGCTCCAAGCTCTGTGAGGAGACTGGATACGAGCTCCCTGGCTTAGTCGTATTGCTGTGAAGAGACACTGTGACCACAGCAACTCTTGTAAACAACAGCTTGCTTCCAGTTTCAGAAGTTTAGTCCATCATGGCCGGACGAATGGTGGACATGGTGCTGGAGAGGTCACTGGGAGTTTTACATCTAGAGCCACAGGCAGCAAGGAGGGAGAGCCACTGTACGTGTATGGAACTTCGAAAACCTCAAAGCTCACCCCTAGTGGCACACTTTCTCCAGCAAGGCGACACCTATCCCAATAAAGCCACACCTCCTGATCCTTTCAAATAGTGCCTGTCTCTCAGCATTTGGATATATGAATCCATGCGGGCCATTCTCGTTCAAACCACCACATCACCATTCCTATCTTCGTGTTCTTTTTATTTTTTTAAAAAATCCATATCACTGTTTTTGTATTTGTATGTATCCTGCAGGCCTGGTGCCCAGGGAGGCCAGAAGAAGGTCTCCTGGATCCAGAGTTACAGATGGTTGTGAGCCACCGTGTTTGTGCAGGGAATAGAAGTCAGATCCTTCATAAGACTATCCAGTGCTCTTAACCGTCGAGCCGTCTCCCCAACTTCATCTTCCATTTCCCTTTGAGGGACCGTTTCATGTCTCTGCTTTGTCAGATGTCTGGCTCATGCATAGTCCCTGTGACCTCGGACCTGCAGTCTTTGCTGTGTGGCTCTCGGTCTTTGCTGCATGGCTCCCGACCCCTGCAAGCCCAGGTGCTTACTCTGCATCGTCCTCTCCTCTCCCCTGTCTCCAGCCTCTCCCTCTCTGTTCTCACCTTTAAATGTTTCTGTTTGAAGTCAGCATTCCCCTTCATTAGTGCCTATATCTTCCTTTTATCCTTATCACCGCTGAACTTCTCAAACAACCCATGCCTCTCTATGGGTAGGCTCTAAGCAAGAGGACATGTCCCTGGGCCCCGTGTTCTTCCTTTGTTTGTTCTTCGGCTCGGTTCAGTGTTTGACTCGGTGAACTGCCCTTTACTCCTGAACACTTGGTCATGACTGTCCTATCTCACATTCCCGAGGTTCCCTCTAACTTCTCAGTATCCTCTTTTCTTAGTGCCAAGTTCCTGAAGGTCCCCTGTCCTCCCTTAGAGGTTCTGTCCTGGCATCACTTCTCCTCATTCTTAGAGAATGAAATTCTGCTATGTTGTCTCCTGTGTCAGCTTCCTGAGCTCTGGGCACCAGCATCCTCGTCTGCTTGGTCCATGTGTGAGCTCTGGGGTCCAGCATCCTCATCTGCTTGGTCCATGTGTGAGCTCTGGGCACCAGCATCCTCATCTGCTTGGTCCATGTGTGAGCTCTGGGTACCAGCATCCTCATCTGCTTGGTCCATGTGTGAGCTCTGGGCACCAGAATCCTCATCTGCTTGGTCCATGTGTGAGCTCTGGGTACCAGCATCCTCATCTGCTTGGTCTATGTGTGAGCTCTGGGCACCAGCATCCACATCTGCTTGGTCCATGTGTGAGCTCTGGGGTCCAGCATCCTCATCTGCTTGGTCCATGTGTGAGCTCTGGGTACCAGAATCCTCATCTGCTTGGTCCATGTGTGAGCTCTGAGCTCCAGCATCCTCATCTGCTTGGTCCATGTGTGAGCTCTGGGGTCCAGCATCCTCATCTGCTTGGTTCATTTGTGTGTTCTCGATGCCTGTCTACATTTCCATTCATCTCCATTGCTCATCACCATTTTCAGAGAACCAGAGACTCAGAATCAGAGTCCTCTGATCTCAGGGAGTCTAGCCACAAGACAAAGACATGCATTAAAATAGTTACCTATCCTCCATTAACTTAAAGAAGTCGTAGTTAGATTTAATGAGTTCTTGATTATTCAGGATACTTTTGCTGGTGGTCGTGTTATCTCGAGTGTGGTGAGGTGTTCAGGAGCTACTGAATCCCTGAGGTAACTCGCCCTACCTTGAGCAACATGGACTGCTGTGGTCTCTATTTATATAGCGCTTTTTGTTCAGTCCCCATAGGCTGGTCCTTTTCTGTTAAGCCTTTTCCTGTCAGCCATGTTTAGCTCATTTACACTGCACTGTCCTGACGTCACTTCACTGGCTCCTGTTCGTGCAGACGGATGTACATCTGTTTGTCACCTGCGACAGAGTGAAGATGGTATTGTTGGCTCTCAGAATTACCTGACAAGTATT